CCTTGACTTACAGCCAAAAAATCCATAATTTTTTATGCCAAGGTTTCATCATCATTTTGTAAATCCAACTGAGCTCTCAATTGTTCATTTTCCTGTTACAATTTGAGGAAACCATCTGATAGAATCTTGATCTGATATCTCATATCAGTTAACTAAGAACTTGAAGCCATAGAAGAAACACAACTAAAGGTATCCATACGAGGGAAAAGACCTACACCGTTAACAAATTTTCCTTTCCTTCCAAGGTTCTTAGCCATGATTCCAAATTCATCTTCCAAAGGTACTTGCATGGAATCAAATATAGTACCCTCAGGCGCTTATTGGATTAGTTTCTCCCTAACTTCATCGTTATTTTTCTTCATTTTATCCTTTCATATTAAAATACAAACAAATAAGTTTCTTTTGTTTCAAACAAATCAACCACAATATGCTTAAGAAAACACCACTTAAATACTTGGATGTGATCCTAAACTGATGTAGAAGCAAACCATTGGGTATAAACTGTCTGTACATATGATTTTGTAGTTTATGCTTCAATGTGTTTTACATAGGATTAGGCAACATACAACGTATAACCTTTAAAGTACTTTATGTTTGAATGTATGTTACGTATAACCTTTCATCTTCTAGCTAGTTATATTAAGTTTTTTTTTTTTAATTCAATCTTGCATGTTCACTTTATTTGTGTGTTCCTAAGTTGTCTCATGCCAAATTTGATTTTTTTTAATCTCTATCTAAAATGACACAAATGATAAGTCCGTGAATGACTTACATATTTGTCCCGGGCAACATCATTTATCCACTGACCATTCTTGTCTTTATGGAGAGCCCCCCAATTGTCAATCACAGATAATGGATTTCCTTTCTGCTCAATAATGCAGAAACATACAATAGAATATGTAAATTCCATAATGAGTATAATAAGTAATTTAATTTCATTACCATCTGGGCCTTCCTAGCATGTTGGATAAATGACCTTGCCCCTCCTTTGTGGTGATACTTCTGTTTCTTCCTATTAACAGCATTTTGCTGTGAAAGCTCCTACATTACAAATTTGGTACATGACATACAAAAGAAGATTTAGTTAGCTATACATGTGTACAATTTGGAAAGTTTCAAGCTCCCAAACTTGTCATATATAACGTCATGTATTTCAGTTGTACATATTCATTCACCTTAGAGGGCTATCTCACCTCACCTTCTATATTCTCTCGGTCAACAATGTTAGAAACATCACAAGCTAAGGAGAGAGAAACATATAAACACCAAGCTTAAGGAAATTGAATGGAAGATACTCTTTCTTCTACCAAGGGCATTAGGCTAACACTGTTAGTCAGATGATTATATGATAACCATTTTCAAACATTAAATTTTAACTCCAAATTACCTAAGTGTCAAGAAGTAACAATCAACAAACTTTAGATTTTAACTCAAAATTACCTAAGTGTAAAGAGTAACAATCAATTTAACCACAAGGTGAAATTCATTAATGCATGTTAGGATATTTTTATTTCAAATATGGCTATCGAAACTATTAGACGATATGGGATGACTGATGTTGCATATAATTGATGTTGCATGATTGATGTTGTATACATATGGGGTGACTGATTATTAGACTATATGGGGTGACTGATGCTGTATATAACTGATGTTGCATGATTAATGTTGCATACATATGGGGTGACTGATTATTAGACTATATGGGGTGACTGATGCTGCATATATATAGGGTGACTAATGCTGCATATATATAAGGTGACTGATGTTGCATACTGAGTGATTATTAGACGATATGGGGTGACTGATGCTGCATACTGACTGATTATTAGACGATATGGGGTGACTAATGCTGCATATGACTGATGCTACATACTGACTGATTATTAGACGATATGGGGTGACTGATGCTGCCACATTTTATGTTTCCTTTTTCCATGGGATTCTTTATTAAGTCTAATCCCTTAATTTGAGGAAGATTGACATCTAGATGACTTGTTGATAGGTGTGTGCTAGCTACTTGCTGCACTCCCTCAATTTAAGGAGTGACAGCTTTAGGGTTTACCGAGTGATGAGTAGATTTTATATTATATATTTTACCCTAATCTTAGTATATTTTGGTTAATATTTTGGAAGAATTTTGATGCTTTGAATTGTATTTTCAATATAGGACTTCCGACTTCCTCTGGAGCAAAACAGGATCAAATGGACGAATTTTGGAGTAATTCCAGCTGGAAGACGTTTGTGAGTCACTTAGCTTGATCGTATCAATATCTGGGATTTTCCCACCAAGCGGTTATTTTCTGACGATAAAATAAAGGAGCGATGCGCAGTGCTGGAAAATGACGTTTTTGGGCTTAACTTGCGTTTTTGGAACCCAAGATGACCTCGGATGGGTTCGTGGCCTTCTGGAGAAGTGTTCAGAATATTCCAAACATTAAATCCAGCTATATTGGGCCAGTTTTTGAGCAGCTTATGGGTCCAAAATGTGGCTGTTCATATTTTAGGCGAATTTTACCATTTAATTTAGGGTTATGTTTCATATTTTATTGATTATTAATTTTAGTTTCCTAGGGGGAATAAAGGACCTGTTTTTAGGGTTTGTGTGGGGGGCTTAGCAGATATATTGCTTGGCCGTCTACAGTTTTTTACTAGGCTTTATTTTATGAAATTTTGGAGATAGAGAGAATTGCTAGGGTTTTGGAGATTTTCTAATTGAAGGTGTTTTCAATCATTTTCTTAATAATATTTTCTATGATTTCAATTACGAATATGCGTAACTAATTCCTTTTGCTAGGGTGAAGCCTTGAACCTTAGCATGAATATGTGATTTTTATTTAATTGCTTATGATTGATTGCATGCATACTTTGAATTATTAATCACCGGGATAAAAACTATCTAATTGTTTTAATACGTGATCACCATTAGGACCTTTAGAAAAGTAATTTGATGCAAGTTTTGGTCAGAAGGTTCCCCGAAATTGACGCTGGCTTCTCGTGATTAATAATTGTAATTTCACTTAGGATGAACACCACGTCTTAAGGATTGCATGGTTTTTCATAAGATTTTCATAAAGTATAATGAGTCTTTCATGTTCAGATTTGATCCGAACGTCCGGACGGGTTGCATGTTAAATATACGTTCTATGTTGGAGGTTCCAAGTAGAATATGAATTAGGAAAATCTAACCTTCAAAGTGACATGTGTAGATCATAAGTAATTGGTAAAAGTTCATAGGATTGCTAGGTGATGGTGAAACCCTAGTGTTTTCTTAATTTGATTCTTCCAAAACTGTTTTCTTTTTCCCCCAATTTTAATATTGCAGATTGTCTTATTTGTTTTAATTAAATTCGTTTTTTAATTTAAGTAGCCTATAAAATCAATCATCATAATTTCTACTTTACAATAATTAATTGGAATTTGGGTTGTTTCGAATTATTTAATAATCCTTGTGGAGAACGACCTTGCGAGATCCATTTATACTACAACAACCTTGTGATTTTTGCAAGTATTATAGGAGTTTTTATCCCATTCACATGAGTAGTAAAATCCCTATCAAGAAACTGGCGCCGTTGTCGGGGATTATTTAAAATAATTCCTACTAATCAGATTTTCAATTACTTATTTCTGTTTATACATATAAAAAACAATTTAATTTTTGTTTTTATTTTATTTTTCACAGATTACAGCAGTACAGCGCAGATTACAAAGATAATCTGTGCATGGTCAGCACCCGTTCAACAGTATAGAAATTGCTTCCTTTTGATCCAGTACTTGAGTAGACTTTGAGGAGACGCAGGAGAAAAATTTGCAGTGGGTTCCTTCTCTGCAGGGTACTTTTCAGCAATCTTTAATTTCTGCGGATCTGCACAGTAAAGAATGGCGTTTGTTATTCCAGAGGCAGGTCAGCCTTTGGGTGATTCTTTAACAGCCCATACCACAAATATACCAAGTTGCATTACTTATCCGGCAGTGGAGGAAGGGTCTACATTTGAAATAAAGCAGCACATGTTGAATATTCTACCTACATTTCATGGGTTATCATCTGACGATCCAAACATGCATATTGCAGAATTTTTAATGGGATGCAAAAATATTTTGGTGAGGGGATTTTCAGCCTAACCTATTAAGCTCCGTTTGTTTCCTTACACTCTAAAAGATCAAGCAAGAAGATGGCTCCTCACACTCCCATCGGGAAGCATTAGTACTTGGGCCCAACTTAGTGAAATTTTTTTAAACAAGTATTATCCAACTTAAAAAACTCTTGACATGAGAACTCAGATTTTATTTTTTGCCCAAAAACCAAATGAAGAGTTTCATGAGGCGTGGGAGCGGTTCAAAGAGTTGATTAGAAAATGTCCACATTTGGGTATTAACACTACTGATCAAATGCATATATTTTTCAGAGGGTTGAATATGACTACAAAGACTCTTGTCAATGCGTCATGCGGAGGTTCGTACAAAGATAAAAATGCACAAGAGGCTTGTTTGTTATTTGAAAAAATGGTGGCGGATACACAACAGTGGGCAGTTGAGCAACCACAATCTAGGTTTGTTTTTAAGATGTCTAACAATTCTCCGTATGTTACAGCACAAATTGAAAAAATGGAGAAAAGGCTTGATGCAAAATTTGACATGTTATTACAAAGAATACCAGGTTCACAGGTTGTTGTACAACAGCCCTTACAAGCTGCCTGCAGCATTTGTAACATGATAACTCATGATTTTATGAGCTGCCCACATAGAGATGTTTGTCCAGATTTTACAGCAGAGCAGGTTAATGCATTTAACAATTTCCAGCATTCCCGATATGGCCCGTATTCAAATTTCTACAACCCAGGTTGGAGAGATCATCATAATTTAAAGTGGGACAAAGATCAGCACTCTAAGCCTCAATTTCAACAGCAGGTACAACAACCTGCTGCACCTAGGTTGCAATTGAAAAATTAGCAAATACTACCACTTAAGAAATCCAAAATCTACAAGAAGCAATGAAAAACATGGAAAAACAAATTGGGCAGATTGCTTTGCAGGTTTCAGAAAGAGCTCCGGGTACATTTCCTAGTCAAACAGTACCTAATCCAAGAGGACAAGAAGAATGCAATGTTGTACATACTTTACGGTCTGGCAAAAGTTACGATAACAGACATGAAAATTCTGCTGGAAATTCGCAGGCAGCAGAACAGCCCCAAACTAAATTTGCAATTTTTGCAGATTTTGCAATTTCTGCAGATTCTGGGCAGCTACAAGACAGATCCGAAAATACTGCAGAAGTTACCACAAAAGCTGCAGAACATGTATATGAGCCTCCTATGCCTTATCCTGAAAGGTTAAAGCCTAAAGCTAAAGATCAACAGTTGACAGATTTTATGAAAACTTTGGCTAAAGTTCTAATTAATCTTCCATTAATTGATGCAATCAAGAACATTCCATCTTATGCCAAATGTTTGAAGGATGTTTGCATAAAGAAAAAGAAGCTCGTTGATTTTGAAAAAGTGGTTCTTACAGAACAGTGCAGTGCGGTCCTATTGCATAAATTACCTCCAAAGAAAAAAGATCCAGGGAGTTTTACTATCTCTTGCACCATTGGAAATTGTGATTTTAGTAGTTTTTTAATTGATTTAGGTGCAAGTGTAAACTTAATGCCTTATTCTGTTTTTAAACGTTTAGGTGAAGGAGAGCTGAAGACAATCTTCAGTATTATTCAATTGGCTGACCGTTCAACTACCTACCCTAGAGGAGTCATGAAAGATGTTATTGTGAAGGTTGACAATTTATATTTACCAGCTGATTTTATGGTGTTGGACATGGATGAAGATTTGACAACACCTATCATTTTGGGCCGCCCATTTCTGGCAACAGCCCGGACTCTTATTGACGTTGAAGCTGCAACATTAGCATTCCGGGTTGAAGATCAAACTGTTGTTTTCAAGTTGTTTGAAGCAAGCATACATTCAGGTGACAAGCAAGAATGCATGCATGTTGATGCATTGGATGGTTTACCAAGTGCCGAGTTTATGAACAGATCATCTACTGACGATAAAATAAAGGAGCGATGCGTAGGTGCTGGAAAATGACGTTTTTGGGCTTAAATTGCTTTTTTGGGCTTAAATTGCGTTTTTGGAGCCCCAGATGACATCGGATGGGTTCGTGGCCTTCTGGAGAAGTGTTCAAAATATTCCAAACATTAAATCTAGCTATATTGGGCCAGTTTTGAAGCAGCTTATGGGTCCAAAACGTGGCTATTCAGATTTTAGGCGAATTTTACCATTTAATTTAAGATTATGTTTCCTATTTTATTGATTATTAATTTTAGTTTCCTAGGGGGAATAAAGGACCTGTTTTTAGGGTTTGTGTGGGGGGCTTAGCAGATATATTGCTTGGCCATCTACAGTTTTTCACTAGTCTTTATTTTACGAAATTTTGGAGACAAAGAGAATTGCTAGGGTTTTGGAGATTTTATACTTGAAGGTGTTTTCAATCATTTTCTTAATAATATTTTCTATGATTTCAATTATGAATATGCGTAACTAATTCCTTTTGCTAGGGTGAAGCCTTGAGCCTTAGCATGAATATGTGATTTTTATTTAATTGCTTATGATTGATTGCATGCATACTTTGAATTATTAATCACCAGGATAAAAACTATCTAATTGTCTTAATGCCTGATCACCATTAGGACCTTTAGAAAAGTAATTTGATGCAAGTTTTGGTCGGAAGGTTCCATGAAATTGACGCTGGCTTCTTGTGATTAATAATTGTAATTTCACTTAGGATGAACACCACGTCTTAAGGATTGCATAGTTTTTCAAAAGATTTTCATAAAGCATAATGAGTCTTTCATGTTTAGATTTGATCCGAACGTCCAGACGAGTTGCATGTTAGATATACGTTCGATGTTGGAGGTTCCAAGTAGAATATGAATTAGGAAAATCTAACCTTCAAAGTGACATGTGTAGATCATAAGTAATTGGTAAAGTTCATAGGATTGCTAGGTGATGGTGGAACCCTAGTGTTTTCTTAATTTGATTCTTCCAAAACTGTTTTCTTTTTCCCCCAATTTTAATATTGCAGATTGTCTTATTTGTTTTAATTAAATTCGTTTTTTAATTTAAGTAGCCTGTAAAATCAATCATCATAATTTCTACTTTACAATAATTAATTGGAATTTGGTTTGTTTCGAATTATTTAATAATCCATGTGGAGAACGACCTTGCGAGATCCGTTTATACTACAACAACCTTGTGATTCTTGCAAGTATTATAGTAGTTTTTATCCCATTCACATGAGTAGTAAAATCCCTATCATTGAGTTAGTAGGATTTGCCAAGGTAGGGTTGCTTGTAACCTTCTACCTCATTGTATATCCCCCCTTGTACATTCAATCAATCTATGAAAAATACATTCAAACAAACTTAAAATTGCCACAGAAACAGAGGTTATATTACCTTTGCCATATTCTTAATTCTAACCTAATTAAATAGGTGTTTGAGTAGATTTGAAAATTACAAGTAAAAAAGTGTGTGGCTGTATAGCCAAGTAAGCTAAGATACATAAATCACATCCTAACAAAATATAAATATTATAGACAAACAACATGAGATCTTAATCACACTCAAAGAAACAAAATTCATTTAAAACAAACAGTTGAAACACTAATCGGTGGCCTGCAAAATGACACTAAGCAGACGAGTTCCATAGGAACAAATAAGATGAATAAAGCCACCAACTACAAGATAGGGAAAATCTCAATAAATAAAGGGAAAATACGAAACAAAAAGTAACAAAACCAAGATGCAGAAATTTTAGCCATAAATACTGAATTTAAAGAACGAACACGGAAAATGTCTATGTATTTCACTTTGTAAGGATTAACCAGCCTACAACTAAAATGAAAATGAAGAAGCATATAAGGTAAGAGCTAGAATGCAAGACTTATAACTAGAAACACTATGTTTGAAGAACATGACAAGTCACAATTTCACATTGGAAAATTAAGTAGATGACAACCAAAATGAAAATGAAGCATAAAAGGTTAGAGGTTCTGACTATAAAAATTGAATTTGTAGAACATGACAAGAAGTCTTCATGTTGAAAGAATTGATTTCTAACTTGGATTTATACTAGAAAAGATTGTATAGAATACATACCAAAAGGAGTGTAGTATTGTAAACATTATCACATAACCAATCCCAATGACTCTTTGGTCTTCCATTCCATATCTTACATTTGGAAGCTTAGCTCGTCCTCTCGCAGGTGTTCCACATGACAAGTAGTGTAGATGCAACCGGTGCCTAAACTGAGAGTACAACTTTGCCATCTTCTTGTCAACATATTCAATAATCTTTGGATAGGATAAGTCCACAACAAATAATACCTCTTATTAAACATAAATATATGCAAGTGAGTGCTTGAAATTACAATGAATAAATTGAAAACTCACAAGCAATTTCTCTTGCAGTGTCTTATTTTCTGAAGCTGGGACCTTAAACTATCTCTCATAGCAAACCGGTGAATAAGTTTGAACAATATTCCCTATCTCGGACGTGAAAAAACCTAACACAACTGGATCACTTGGAACTTGATGTTTAAAATCAAAGATGATTGACATCTTCAGCCCGTTATTGGCCTCCGAAATATCATGGACGCCTTTCCCACATGACTTTCCATGAGTCATTTTTTTTGCAAAAAAAATCAAAATCTATCTCTAGAAAAATATACGTATCTCTAATCAATGTAATGTGTTGTTTAAAACTACGTTAATAAGGAAAAAGTAAATAACCTGGGTTAGTGCTTGTTGGCGAAGGTGCAGGTGGTGATGGAAGAGGTGTTGGTGGAAGAGGTGGTGGATGAGGTGCAAGTGCATCATTTGGAGGAGGAGGTAAGGGATCCCTCACCTGCTTCACCCTATTTCCTCGTTGTGTAGAAGTTGCCATCTAAATATGAAACATAAAAGTAAATAACATAACCAAAATATTAATATATACAAACACAAACCATTATAAGCATAGTGACTATTTGTAAAATGATAGGCAAATATATTTACTATTGTAGGATAATAAACATTAATTTATAATGCATAGATCTCACCATAGTCATCAATTGTAATCATCATTAGTATCATTGGTTCCAACATTCTCCTCCTCATCATCCTCTTCCTCCTCCTCTTCGTCATCATTTTCTTCCTCCTCCTCCTCATCCCTCTGTAGCCCTAGCATTCTTCAAACCTCCTCGTTGTTAATATCAAACGATTCAGGATCAACATCATCTCTACATAATGATATATCAACTTCACCATCATTATGGACCCGCCTTGTAGAATTTTCAGTTTCATCTACATACTTATCATCGTCTTCGTCAATGGCATTGTCTTCCTCCTCCTCATCATCATCTTTCTTAGGAACATCCTAAATGTGTCTATGTTGTATCTTTTGCACAACTTTCCATGGATGACCCAATTTTAAGTCATCAATATAAAATACTTGATGTGCTTGTTTAGCTAACACATACGGATCACCATCGTACCAACGATTATTTACATTCAATGATGTAAGATGATAATCCTGTATAACTTTTTTACCTCTTGTATCTGTATTGTATCAATGACATTTGAAAAGAATCACCTTAAAACCTCTAGTAAATTGTACTTTAATGACATAAACTAAGAAGCCATAAAAGTTACATGTTTCACCATTATGTGACCCCGGCGTCATAACCCCACTGTTCTGTGTTGTACGATTTTGATCAACATGTCTGACCAAATATCGAATGCCGTTCACAATACAACCTGTGTATTGGAAAATACGTTGGTCTAGACCTTGGGCTAATAAAAAAAATATCTTCACTAACCAATCTAGGCTCTTGATAATATAATGACGTGACCCGCTGCCTAAACCATTCTGGAAACAACTGTCTATGCCTTTGTTGTACATTAGCATAACTATCTCTTTCCAAAATCTCGATATGCTTACTGCATAAATAAATAAAATGTAAGTGAAAGTTGTGGAATTATAATTATTTAAATAAATGTTCAACTATTACTATCACATACTTTCTGAAGTCTTCTATTTCGGCGCAATTATCTAAGATATACCAATAAGCCACTTTTATATCTTCCCTTGAAAGTTGAACCATTACATGAGCACCAAATGGACGTGCTTTTTGAGCAATCACTGAAATGACCACATTGGGATTACTACCATCGTCGTTTCTTTCTGGTTGGGAGAATTCAGTTCAACTTCACATAAATACATTGAGCAAAAAGTTGAAGACTCGTATGCCAAGTGTGCTTCCACAATAGAGCCTTCAGGACGAGCTTTGTTATGAACAAATTTCTTGTACGAACCTAACAATCTAGATAAATGAACAATTGTTAGTACGTAGAAATAAAAAAATTATGCAACTAATAGAAACATCATGGCCATTTACCTTTCTACAGGATACATCCATCGATATCCGACTGGTCCTGCCAATTTTGCTTCGCGTGGTAAGTGCACTATTAAGTGAACCATGGGAACGAAGAATGCAGGCGAGAAAATTTTTTCTAGTTTGCACAATATGAGAACAATGTCTTCTTCCAACTTGTCAAGATTAGTAACAGTCAAGGTCTTTGCACATATTTATTGAAAAAAAAAAAACTAGAAAACTCAACTATTGGACCATAGATATGTTTTTTCAAATATTTTCAAATTCCCACAGGAAGCACATTGTCTCTTCAAACCAAATATACTTCCTTCATCCACATTCACTTTATGTGATATATTTGCTGCATAACCATCTGGAAATTTAATTGATTTCAACCAATGCAAGAAATCTTTACGCTCATATGGCTTAAATACATACTGAGCCAAAGGCTTATCCAATGTGTTACGTGCATTTAGTTTCAAATGCAAACTCTCTTAAATATGCATGTCTTGTAAATCCATTCGTACCTTAAGGGAATCCTTCGACTTCCCCATATTCAGCAATGTCCTAATCAAACAGTCAAATATATTCTTCTCAATATGCATAACATCAAGATTATGCCAAATTCTTTCCAAGCACTCGAGTTTGCTGGATGCCTCATTGTGTTCCCATCATTGATTCTTTTCTCCTTGTGCCACCTCATATCTTCACTCGTATGTCTTGATATGAACAACCTCTGTAGCCTTGGCTTAAGTGGAAAGTATCGCAACACTTTTGTTGGAACTTTCTTCCTCTGCCCATAATGACTATCCTATACCTTGGCTCATTACAGATTGGACATCTATCTTTCTTTTCCTGTTCTTTATAAAATAGTTCACAATCATAGTAGCAAGCATGTATATTTTCACACCCCAATCCAAAACTTTTCAATATCTTCTTGCACTCACGAAATGAGTTAGGAACATTACTAGGCTGAGGACACATCTTCTTCATCATTGCTAACATCTTATCAATTGCCTTGTTTGTCATGTGGTTGTCAACTTTGGTGTAAATCAACTCCACGATGTATGTCAAAATTGTATATTGCTTACATCCAAGGTATAGTTCTTTTTGAGCTTCACCAAGCAACATCTCATAAGTATCAACATCTATCCATGCATTGGTCATATCACCACCCCACATGGTATCTTGGTTCCCCATTGTATCTTCATCATCTATTCCTTCAAAGACATCCTCAATCATATTAAACATGTTGACATTAGAGTTACTGGTTGGCTCATTATTCGTAGATACCGAAGAATCTCCTTGCACTTGTTGGATATGCTCCCCATGATATATCCATCTATCATAATTCATATCCATACCGGAATTCAACAAATGGAGATGAACATCTTCAACTAAGTGAAAAAATGTGCTATGGCAAACTCGAAAATGACATGGTATTTGATTATTCTTGTTCACATGGTGACAAGCAATGTCAATAAATGACTTGATTCCTTTTCTATATTCGGAACTAAGGCGATCCCAACTACGAATCCATTGTCGATCCATGAAGTCAGATCACTTCAATCCTAGTATTGAGCTGCATACTTTGACATATTTCAATAGCTTGCCATAATAGAATATATATATATATATATGAATATATATGTAAAATTGTTAAGATAGCCGTATAATATAACAACCAAAAACGTCAAGAAGCTCAATTGAAAAATTCACATATCCCAACTCAACAACAATTAGATGCTAAAACAAACATACTAGAAAGTAGAGAAATCATACAAAAATCACCATGCTAGATACTAAGTTTGCAATAATCTAACAAAAAAACCACCATGCTTTCAGCATATACATGCACAATACTTCGTATTCATCATTACTATTCAAATGCAATGATTATTTGGCTAGTGGTAGCATTAATAATATGTCATTGTAAATTGCAAGCATTAAAGACAACATACCAACTTAGAGCTTTGGTTTTGTACTTAAGTAATCTTGACCTTGAGCACCTTCAATCCTGAAAATCATGAAAGTATAAAAATTTCATATATGTACAAAGATAAATGTGCATTAGAGTATAGTTAAATGAGAGCTCAATCGTAAGGTGCTAGATGGAGTCCACTCTGCGGCTCTTAATCCATTATCTCAAACTATCATATTCACCTTTCCCCACCTTTCATCTTCATGTCATATAAACACTTTTTTTCCCTGAATCACAATGAAAAACTGATGTTGCATACATATAGGGTGATTGATGCTGCATATGACTGATGTTGCATAACTGATGTTGTGTACATATAGGGTGACTGATGCTGCATATGACTGATGATACATAACTGATTCTGCATATGACTGATGTTGCATACATATGGGGTGACTGATGTTGCATATGGATATTAGACGATATGGGGTGACTGATGTTGCAAGATTTTATGTTTTCTCTTTCCATGAGATTCTCTATTAAGTCTAATCCCTTAATTTGAGCTAAAGAAAACCAGAATTTGGGGAACAATTAAAGAAATATAGAGAAACAAAGTACCTTGTTGTCAACTAAAAGAACTTGAGAAAAAATACAACTTCTCTTTCCCCAATTTGATCTTGTTATGTCAAAGAGATAAAAGAGTTAGTGAACGAGAATCAAAGGGTGGGGAATGGCTGAGGGAGGGAGACGAAGGAGAGGTGGTAGTCACCATTGCTAGCAACCACCAAGTAGCCGGTCATCGAAGTTAGGGTGAAGGAGTAGATGAAATGGTGCTAAAGATTGGGAAGAAATGAGAATAAATGGATAGGTTTTGTTATTTGGGGGTTTTGATAATTGCATCTATATTTTTTTATTTTTAATTCAATATTATATGTGAGGAATGTCCAGGTGGCCTTCCCTCTTCTTATGTGATGAATTTAACATTGCGTCACTTATTAAAGTTTCGTTTGGCAGTAAACTTTCCCGCCCACTTTTTTGTGGCGAATCCAAAAGTATAAGTGACACAACATATTTTGGTGTCCTGCAAAAATCTTAAAATGACGATTTTAAAAAAAGCGTCACTTGTTTTACCTATTTGTGATGAATTTTCACGCGCCATAAAAAATTCGGTCACTTAATCCATGTTTTCTTGTAGTGAAACTTTTGCTAGTCCTCGAGCAAAATAAAAATAAAAGACAAGGAAAACAATAGACCTTCCATAAATTAGCCTCAAAGCAATCTAGAGATGGTCACCAAACTTAAGAGAATTAAACATTTTTCAAAATCAAATTAACCAAACCTTACACCACATTCTCAAGTGTAGTGAGTGAAATAACCAATATCAATACAACTTACTCAACCCAGATAGGTATATGCAAACCAAAGTTTCCACTTCAAATCTTCCACCATGAATATCACTCAAAAATAAATCACACATTAAAGGGCAAAGTGTTTCACTCAAATCATGATTTGCAATATAAACCTCATAAGCTTGCTCTTCATATCGTCTCTCCACTAATGTAAATCAATGCAACACCAAAAATCAAAGGTCTTTACAAAGG